TGGGGTGTGGACAACTTTCTTTGGCTGGAAGCTACTTTGGGCTCCCTGGAACTCATCAGAAGGGGTACAAACACTGTGTTTATTGTTTTTGTTGTTGCCACCAGAATACAACAGCTATCTTCGAGCTGGTCACTGCTAAATTGGCATCACAGCGACTCTATGGTGCACAAAGAGGAGGAAGGAAGCAAGAGGTGAAAGGAGCAGGGATGAGCTTTTTTCTAGGGTAGGTAGGCAGACATTTGGCGGGATTTTGATAGAGTGGTTGTGGTTGCAAGGGCAATGCTGCTGGTTTAACTTGGTGGCAGCCAGACAACATGGCAGGGAGTAAAAAAGTAAAATAACTGAGGGAGCTGCATTTTGCCCACCTCAGAAGTACAGAAATTAGGCACCCTTTCTGTTTCTTTTGAGGAAAGTCTCCACTGTTAATTCAGCTCTCTTTCAACGGGGTATCTTGGAATCTGAAGAATGCACTTTACAACTCCTCAGGAGGGAAAAAGTGGAAATTAGATCTGCTGACTTGTATGTTTCCTTCCAAAATGCCTTTGAGGGAACCTGATGCTATCTCCTGTGAATAACTTAAAAAACAACAACAAACCCAACAACTTTAAATCCAGTACAATGCTGATTCTTGGGGAAGGGAACTGAAAATCTGTATATAATTTTCTTGAACTCCTCTTGAAAACAGCCCATTAAAAAAGGGTGGTGGTGGTCATGTTTTCTTTAAAATCCCCAAATCATCAAGGATACCATGACAACATAAAGCTGCTTTTGAGGCAGCTGATGTCATAACTGGTAATCCCATCAAGAAAGCAGAATATAAAATTATTTGCTTCCACGTTTATGGTTTAAACATACAGAGCCCTAAATTTTAGGCTGCAATCTTACGTTGGAATATGCTGTACATCTGGAATGGCCATTCATCATTTACTCACTTCTGAAAGAGAGTGTATCAGTACCATACAGCTATAGCAGTCTGATGCCACTTTAATTGCCATGGCTGCATCCTATGATAAAACATCTTTTAAAAATCATCATTTTTCACCTATATGTGGAGTGTTCTGTGCCATTCTAAAACTTAACTTAAAACTTGGTCTTTTGCCCTGGATTTTGTGATAACAGAAATGAGTGAGGATTGTCCCTGATGCTGGGCAGAAAACTTCAAATTTGAAGAATAGAGGTGGGTTGGAAGGGTGGCATTGATGAAGTGAGGAACAGCAAGAGCAGTCATAGGACGTTTTCAAACACATGGATCTAAAGCCGCCTGGAAGCAATGAAGAGCCATTCCGGCGGTGAAAGCAGCAGCCGCCGGAATGGTTCCTGATTGCTTCCGGCAGCAGCAACTCTAATTCCTTTTAAAAAAAGGAATTACAAACACCGGGGCTGATGCTGGCCAGCGCTGGGGATGGCGCTGGATGGGGCGGGGCGGGGGCGGGGCTTGCTGCAACGTCATGTGAACACGCACAGCAAGACCCGGACTGACGCAGGATAGCGCCGGGGATGGCGCTGGATGGGGCAGGGCTTGCTGCGACGTCGTGTGAAAAATTTGCAGAACAGCCGGAGTGGGGCCAGACGGAGGTAGGATTGCGTCCTCCTAAAGCCCCGTTTGAAAACGTCCATAGAGTTGCCCAGGCTTGTGGGTATGATCTCACAGTTTTTATTAAGGATTGAGAAGCAGTAGCTGATCCAGCTTGGCTGATCCCATATGAACCTGCTTCCGTTATGAGATCTTCTGGCAAGATCTCTGTCCCAGCACCACTCTGATAGATGTACCTGGTGGGAACGTGGGAGACAGGGCTGTTGTCTCTGTGGCTGCCCCAAAACCCTGGAACCCCTTTCCATAGAAGTTAGATTGGCACTATCCTTACTGTTTTTCAGCAGAAGGGTGAAGACCTTTTTATTCCAGCAAACCTTTAATAATTGTGTGTGTGTGTGTGTTTTAGAGGAAACAGGCCTTGTAGAATGTGTAGGATTTTAATTTCTTTTTAAATTGTTGATATCTTAAAGTAGTTTTACTTTTTTTATTGTTTTTAAGTTTTGTTTGCTGTTTTTAACAATGTTTGTTTTAACTGTTGTAACTTGCCTTGACTCATATATATATGACTATAAACACACACACACACACACACCCATGATATGATATCCTGGGAGTTACAGTTTTGTAAGGTACCATAGTTAGAATTATGTGCTAGGGAGCTTGGTGTTGCATATCAGGGGAGTGGACGCTATAGCTCCTTGGCAGAAAATTCCACCAAACTACAAATCTAAAGGTTCTATAGAATGGGGTCATGGCAGTTATACTGGTATTCAATTGTGTCATTTAATAGCACCCAGAAAGTCTGGGTGGCAAATCAGACTGATAACCTTATCGCACTAGTACCTGTAAGGTTCCCATTGAGTCCCTGGAACATAACAATATGGGAACGGGTGTTCCTGCATTAGACTATTGATAATGCGATAGTGACGTTAT